GGACACACAGGTGAGGGGACAGGTGAGGGGACAGGTGAGGTGCCACACAGTTAAGGGGTCACACAGGTGAGGGGTCACACAGGTGAGGGGTCACACAGCTGAGGTGCCACACAGCTGAGGGACCAGGTGAAGCGCAGGGGGTGTGACCCCCCCCAAACCCCACCCCTTCCCCTCCCCCACCCCATCCGTGGCACCTTGATGGTCTCGTAGGAGCCGGTGATGAGGGCGATGAAGAGGCTGAGCACCATGTAGATGAAGAGGCTGATGAAGGTGTACAGGTACACCTGGCTGAAGAGCCACACCAGGTGGCTGTGCTGCTGCATCTCCGCGAACGTCACGAACATGTCGTCGCCATTGATGAGGGAGAACAGGCACTCGGACACCATGGACAGCGACCGGAACTGGGGGGGGGGACAGCGTCACCTGTGTCACCTCTGTGTCACCTGTGTCACCCTGTGTGTCACCTGTGTCACCCTCAGTGTCACCTCTGAGTCACCCTCCCTGTGTGTCACCCCTTGTCCATGTTGATGAGGGAGAACAGGCACTCGGACACCATGGACAGCGACCGGAACTGAGGGGGACAGTGTCACCTGTGTCACCTCTGTGCGTCACCTGTGTCACCCTCAGTGTCACCTCTGTGTCACCCTCTCTGTGTGTCACCCCTCGTGGCTGTTGATGAGGGAGAACAGGCACTCGGACACCATGGACAGCGACCGGAACTGGGGGGGACAGGGGGTGACATCAGTGTCACCTGGAACCTCTCTGTGTCACCCCTGTGTCACCTCTGTGTCACCCCCTGTGTCACCCTCAGTGTCACCCTGTGTGTCACCCCTTGTCCATGTTGATGAGGGAGAACAGGCACTCGGACACCATGGACAGCAAACGGAACTGGGGGGGACAGTGTCACCTGTGTCACCTCTGTGTCACCTGTGTCATCCCTGTGTCACCTGTGTCATCCCTGTGTCACCCCTGTGTGTCACCCTGTGTGTCACCCCTCGTGGCCGTTGATGAGGGAGAACAGGCACTCGGACACCATGGACAGGGACCGGAACTGGGGGGGGACTGTGCCACCTGTGTCACCTCTGTGTGTCACCTGTGTCACCTGTGTCACCCTCAGTGTCACCCCTGTGTCACCCTGTGTGTCACCCTGTGTGTCACCGCTTGTCCATGTTGATGAGGGAGAACAGGCACTCGGACACCATGGACAGAGACCGGAACTGGGGGGGGGACAGCGTCACCTGTGTCACCTCTGTGTGTCACCTGTGTCACCCTCAGTGTCACCCCTGTGTCACCCTGTGTGTCACCCCTCGTGGCCGTTGATGAGGGAGAACAGGCACTCGGACACCATGGACAGAGACTGGAACTGAGGGGGACAGGGGGTGACATCAGTGTCACCTCTGTGTCACCCTCAGTGTCACCCCTGTGTCACCCTCAGTGTCACCCTGTGTGTCACCCTGTGTCGCCCCATGTCACCCCCCCCTTGTCACCCCATGTGCCACCAGGAAGGGAAACTGAGGCAAAGGTCAGGGTGAGCCCGAATCCATCTACTCCCAAATCCAGCGGCTCCCAGACCTGGGACTGGGGAAGGGATTTGGGGGAAGGGGAACACAACCCCCAAAACGGGAGTTTGGGGAGGGAACACAAATCCCAACACAGGGATTTGGGGGTAGGAAACACAACCCCCAGCAGGGTCACCCCGGGCGGGGCCTGGTGGGGATTTGGGAGTCCCCTGGCGCAGGGGGAGCCCCCAGACCCCCTCAAATCGCCCCCAAACCCCCTCAAATCCCCCCCAAAGCCCTCCCCGAGCCCACCTTGACGTGGTAGGGGCCCAGCACGATCCAGCCACAGAAGCAGTAGCCCAGGTAGATGACGGCCACGCAGCAGCAGAAGCGGATCACGTTGGGCAGGGCCACGCGCAGGGTGACGATGAGGATCTGGGGAGGAAGGGCAGGGGAGGGGGGGACAGAG